GAATTAGCTCGCATTGTCATTGCACAAAAACCCTGCGCATTATTCCTGCAGGGACCTCTTCACAGCTGGAACATTTCCGGGGAGGGACAAACTGCATGTTTTATTGAGTTCAGATCCAGGATTCAGACTTCATTCTTTATTGTCTTGCAGTGGAGGAAAATTTGTTTTCATAGTCTGTACAAAGAGAACATGAATTCAACAACACCAACAACACTCACACATAGTAACACATATACAGACAATATCACATCATATCTACACATATAACACATCGCTAATTTGTCTGTGAGTTTAATGCTCTTATAGCGCAGGGTACAAAAATCTTCTCAAAAAAGCGTGCCTTTTTTGTAGAGCAGCGTGTCTGTATTACGGCCAGAATGGGAGAAGGGTTGAAGCTAAATGAGTTGAGAGGGTGGCTGGGATTTTGTAGCTATGGGTAAGTTGCTCTGCGAGCAGTGGCAGTGATTAATGAGGGCAGTAGGTTGGAGTGGGAAGACCTAGTTATTTTTGGTGAGGAAGTAGTTAGTGAATTTTAAGAAACGTATTTCCTGTTTGGTGATAGAGCATGATGAAGTAGGCAGGTTAGCGACAAGTACAGCGAGGATGGGTTCAATGATTACATACGGTACAGGGGAAAGCAGTAGGTTTTGGTTTGAGAGAGTCCTGAGTTTACGTATGACAAAAAGTCTTTGTTGACAGCGTCTGTGGATTTGATATTGAGCTGAAAAAGAGGAAGAGAAACCGCCTGTGTTCATTATTTCATGTTAATGCATTTATCTTCTTTATTTCCAAGGCCATCAGTGCTTCAGCAACCTTCAATTCACTGTTATGTAAGCTAACAATAACTGTCAGATACAGTACTGGAGCGACTTTTTTAAAAAGGCGGATGGATGTAATAACGTATTAATGCCATGCAGTGGCAGTGTTGGTCCATAATCTTACTTGGACACAGCCCTCTCAGCCCACAGGACAAAGCAATGGGGTACTGTAGGTGCACACCAGGAACGGGACAGAATACAATAGAATAGGAAAAAACATCTGTATTACACTAATAATAATAATAATACTACTACTAATAATAATACTGATACTAATAATAATTAAGGCAGCTAATTACCCCTGTAGCCCTCCTCCAGGCCCCATGCACCTCATTGTGTGCACCATTTCTATCACTAACTAATGATTTAAGTTCATTTGAGTGGCTCCCCCCTCCTCTCCTCCTCTCCCCCTCCTCTCTCCTCCTCTCCCTCTCTCCTCCTCTCTCCCTCCTCTCCCCCCCTCCTCTCTCCCTTCTCTCTCCCCCTTAAACCGCTCCAAATTTGTCCGGCACGTTCCTGCTCGCCGATTGGTCCGCTCTCTGATTGGCCTGCGCTCTGATTGGCTGAAAGTTGCGTTCTCGGACGGTCCGTCGACGCAGTTAGTTTCTCGCCTGCGGCTGAAATTCGGACGGCGCGCCGCTGCTGGAGGCGATGTGGATATAGAGTTGAGCTTTTATTTTTGTAGATAATTGTCTGAGCACTTGGGCCAACAGGCGGGGGGGAGATGTAGATAAAGTTTCTCTCTCTCTCTTTCTGTTCCCGGTTCTGTTAGGGGTCTCGAGCGCTGTCCACGCGGACTGTCATTCAGAAATACTACAGCCTGCAGTTGGAGCGCTCACGTGTTTGACCTTAGCTGATATATTTTTGATTTTATTTTTATTTTTTTTTCGACATTTACTGTCATTTTCCCGCTCGCTGTCTTATGACCCGCTCTGTATACTTTACCTCGTTCACTGCAAGTTGGCGTTCTCGGTGACAGACGCGTCTGTTTTTTGTAAATGATTCCTGGTTTGAATCACGGATTAATTGATCGAAATTCTAACCTTACTGCAGAGGAAGGTGTTTGTCGGGATAAAGGCATGGTATACGTGCAGGTCTGCAGAGAGTAACACACTGGATCTCATCACTGCTGGGGATTTTACAGTAAGTCCGACTGTATTAATAAGCCTATTTATATAATGGATCCGCAGGGTCTTAATGTTTGTCTGTTGTACTGTATAGAGAGCTTACTGCGATTGTATCATCTCCTCATCACCTTTTTATTTCTTTTTCACGGCACTTAAGTTTTATTTTGTCCCGAGTTTAAAAGTTATATTTAAATGTATGTCAAATTCTTATTTAATCTGAACAGTAGTACTGTACAGGGGTTGTTACTTAAAGTTAACTGTTGATTTTTTTCTATATCTGTGAATAAGAGAGTGATAACACTTCCCTTTAGTAAATCTATGAAGTAGTTGCATGATTTCATAAAGAAACATATCATTTCATCCGGGTTTCCTTTCAACCGGGATGGAAATGAATGATTTTAAACAAGTGATAATTAGAATTCAAAGGAGCTCCAGTCTGGGATGATCCTAATGAGAGCAGTCACAGGTTGCAGGCTCTCCTCCTCCTTAAAGAAACTTTTACTCCTCAGCTCACAGCCGCTTTCAGCCCCTCTCTGTATGCTTTTTATTATTCATTTAGGGACTAAAGATTGTTCTCCCAGCAAGATAAGTCCACCGCTTATGCAAATAAAAGTGTGACTGAACCTGACTTTCGTAGGTTGACAGTATATCAGTTATCCTGCACTTTTAAGTGCGTAGCAGTTTCTGGTGAACTGAGGTTGACAGGTACTGATCAAAGATACATGTGAAGTACTGAAATAAGATCTCATACGGTTCAGGGAAGAATTTATGTGGCGGAAAGATTAAAACCACTGTAAGGAGAGACATATGGACAGGTGGACAGAATAAATCTGTAAGGAAAATAGTTTGACCAGAAAATCTCTGCTCCTGTGCCATGAACACCTTACTTTTTTCTGACTGCTGTGGACTTTTTTTTAGAGCCAGACAATGTTTAGAAGACAGAATACACTGGATATAGGAGATAAAACATTTTACAAGTTAGTGCTTCTTTTCGAACATCTACCTTTAGAAACATTCACCTGGTAGGTTTTGAAACCCTCTGCGGTAGAGTTAATAGTGTACACACATCTCTCAGTTTTGTTCAGAGAAACAAGAGAATTTTACTTTATTACTTTGCTGTATTAAAGAATAACTTTGTTCTTTTCCATCAAGTTGTTCCTACTTGTGTCTCTTTTAAAATTCAAGGCAGATTTGAACATGGATGCTCACCAGCTGTCAGCCAGTTGGTAGTAAATTATGCTTTAATACCATTGCTCTAGCCGCAACAGCAACGAAAAATAAAACCACCCGATGGTGAAATAATGAACGTGGCTGGTGGATTCAAGGGTCAAGGTTACTTTATTTGTGCCCATGGGTAGATTTGGTTTGCAGTTAAACACAAGGCATTAGACAAACATAATACATGACAACATGATAAAGGATAAAGATAAAAGTAAAAGTGCTCCAGGCTCTAAGAATCAGGACTTACAGAGAGAGATCAATAAAAAAAAAACCTTAAGCTAAATAACCACTTAGAATAAAATAAATGTTCTGGGACAAACAATTCTGGGAATAAAGACTCTGACGGTGGACAATGCAGCAGTTGTGATAAATTGATGATTCGTATCAAAATGTTATATAATAGATTAAAATGTGAAATTATTTCTCAGTATCTATTTATCGAAGTATTTATCTCATTCCACTGCCTTTCAGATCAAAGAGGCTGAAAACTAGACCACAATGAATCTGCTCTGGGTCTTTCTGGTGCTGGAGACGGTCCTGGTGTCCACAGCTGCCAGGGGTGAGTAACAGAAGCACTGATTTCAACAGAGACTTGGAGCATTGCAGTCATCAATACCAGCAGTAAGATAATGGCAGGAATCACTGCGGCTGACATCAGTATCTGGCAGTACTTGAGAAACAAATTCTTCTGAAGGTTCACCTGGCCTGGAATAAATTTCCTTTTGCATACATGCTGTCATGCTGCTGTTTGAAACACGGTGGTACGACTGCTTCCACTGCGCTTTCAGACAGTCTCATTGAAGCTGAAAGTATGATTGGAGGACATTAATAGTTGCAGGACTGAACCTTCTCCTCTTTCTTTTTCTGTTGTTCTTTAACTGTCTGCTTTGTAAACCTATTTGTTATCCTTTATTGGCTCATTCTGAACTGATGCATTCGCTCAGATTCTGAATATGTGCAGATGCTTGTCCTGGGGCGAACTTTAATGAACGCTTTTGCTCTGAACCTTTGACTTTGACTGGTTATTCAGTTACTGTCGGGTTTTCACCTCGCAGCAGTGTGGTTTTATTTCCTCCTGGTACACTGCGCTGTTGGCTGTAGAGTAAAATGCAGTATCTCTCTCCATTAGAACAACCCCACAGGGAGGTTGGTGGTCAGAGTCAGATACAGAGCAGTACCCTCAGCACTCTGCACGCTACCTTGTTTTCGTCAATGAAACAAAACATATTAAAAAACAAACAGCGACAGAGGCTGTGCACGGATGACAACCAGGCACTGTGGGCAGACGGTCGCGGAGTTGGCGCCCGTTCCAGAGATCACACCGACGATGAGTCTTCAGCAGGAACAAAGCTGCATTCAGCGAGGCGAGGCCGAGCCAGCGTGCAGACACAGGGCCGAAAGTAAACACAGGGCCATAGACCGCAAAGAGATGAGATTAGATTAGCCTATTAGGGATGTTTGCTGTGCAATGCCACAGCATTTCCTCCCCCCCTCACCGCCTGCAGTCTGTCAATGAAACCAGGGCAGGCGGCACAGAGAGACAGAAGGCGGAGGGGGTAAGGGTGGAAGGGAGAGGAGAGGAGAGAGATGCAAAGAAAGAGGGTGAAGGAGAAAAAGGGCGGCCGCAGGACATAGGGAGACTGGAGGAATAATGGATGATGAAAGAGAAATAGGGGAAGTAGGGAAAGGAGAAAGTAAACGAGGGGGGGAAGGAGTGAGGAAAAGGGAAAAATGGACAAGGGAAGGAAACAGATTATAGGAAAGGGTGTGAGAGGAAGGGCAGGAGAGCATGAGGAGGACAGAGGGGACGAAATGCCATTATGAAGCTATTAGAAACTGAAGTTCTCCCTTATCTTGTGATTGGTTCGAATCAGGTTGCCTGGTTAAAGTACAGTATTAGCACTGGAGGAATCTGACTGAAGCTGAGGTTGTTTATACGCAACCCAATTTTATTTTTGTTATTTCACACCTTGTATGTATGTATGTATGTCTGTTATTGTGTGTGTAACACTGACTGGCGTTTGGAAAGGCAGCTGAAAGACATCTATATGTGATGAGAGGGATTCTAGGTTTCGGTGGCCCCGTGGTCTGAGGTTCATACCATGTAATTGGGAATTTGTGGTTTTGAACTTGAGTAATGCAGCATGTCATCTGTTCTCTGTCTGTAAACGTCCTCTGTTTACAACATGTAGTATAATATTCAAAACAGAAGCACTATCTGAACCATGGAGCAAAAAATGCTGGAACGTGCAGATTTATAACAAGTTCAAGTTCTTTTAAACCAGAGTTTGCCATCTTGCAAATTTTAAGGCAAAATTTACCTTCAGCTTTATCCAATCCATGGATTATTTTTGCTTTTTTTTTTTACAGTCCAACATGTAGTTATGTTATTGCCAATATAACTTGATTTCCACTGACATTTTCTTCTCTGGCAGAGCTGAGCAAACAGCTGAAAATGTTAAATGTTTTTTGAAAAATTGCGCACAAAATGACAGAAATTGCATTGCAATTTTTTTAGAAAGGCAGATGCTAATACATAATTTTTTTCTCCACAACAGTTAAACGACAGTACGTGAGATCCTGATGACAGTTTGACCTTTAGCTGTTGTGAGAGTTGCCAAAAACAACCACAGCAATCTACCATTGGCTACTAAGCAGTGCAGATAGGAGTTAAGGACAATAAGGAACAAAACAGAAACTTATTACCCCAGAAGTTCAGGCCCTTTTTGGATCACTTCCTGCAACTATATTTGACTATTTGCAACAGTGTCAATACATAAACAACTGATTCAGAACTGTTTGGTTTATAAATGAAAAATGAAAAATAAGACTAACTCATAATTAGAAATTCCAGTCCTTTAGTTCAAAAATCTATTAAATTGTTTACAAATCTGATAGAAACGATAGAGGAAAAGCTTCTTCCGACTGCCCGCCCTTGTCGCATTCTCCACTGCACTCGAAGAAATGACTCAGAGAAACATTTTTATTACTTACTTGGTGACTCCTGAGATGTCCCAGAGAAATATGCATACCAGAGGTGGTTACTAAGGGCAACAGTATAAACAATGAACAATAAAAAGCAAAAAATATCATAGGACACATCGTGACATTTGAAATGAAAAAAACATGATGATGATGATCTTTTGTAGCCTAATCTGTTTGGGCAGTCCCCTTTCACACACAAGGTTCAGTTACAGTAAATATAACTGCTATAATACAGTCTGGCTGACTGTAGCAAAGAAACAGCTGAATGAAAACACAGAAATAAAGAGAACAAAATCATTCCTTTCATGGCAAATAAATAGATCCCAGAAAGCCCAAATAGTTGTAATGACTGTTACTGGTAGTTACTTTTTCCTGGCTGTCCTTGGAGTTGGTGGGGGCTGACCATCAGATGACACTGAAGGCTGGAAGCAGGAACATTTGAGTAGCTAACGGCCTTGCTGGATTCTGCAACAGACAGAGGAGGAGAAAACTTAGAAGATGGAACAGTACAGTAAAAAAGGAAAAGAGATACAGATACAGATAAAGAAAGAATAAGCAAGGAAGAAGGTAGCCAAAGACAAAGAACAGAAGGGGGAAGACGGTGAAAGAAAGACGGACAGAGGTAAGCCCAGAGGTAGAGACAGAAGGAGATAAGGGGGCAACATTTCTGCTCTTTTTGCAGCAGATTTAGAGTCGTATAAACTGCACTGCAGGCTTACACAACCACACTGTTTGAACCAGTGTCTGGGCCTCGTGTGTGTGTGTGTGTGTGTGTGTGTGTTTGTGTAGCTGAGCATGAGACTGAGCAGCTGAGAGATTAGTATTCTCCCCTGTTAGCTGAACAACACTGAGCTTGAATACAGGGGTCAAAGAATTGTAGGTAGGCCAATGCATTCTGGGCTACCTGCAGCTCTAGACAGAGTTAGGTTCAAGTGCGAACAATGGAAAGGAAAGGTCCATCCTAAAATACTTTTGTTAAAACACAGAGCAATTTGACCTTTTAAGAAATATGTGTTTTTGTTTTCTTTAAGTCAAGAGTTACATGAGAGGATCAGTGTGACATGGGATAATAACTTCACCGTGGGAGATATGGGCGCTTAAGTGTGGGACTTTTCTGACTGGGTAACTTCCAGTAACTTCCTAGATTCTCCGCTGTTTGCCTGGAAACCTTAGCCTGGCAAACAGAAATGAACCTCTCAGTTCTCAGCCATGACAAAAAAGAGGGCGGTGCCAGTTAAAGGCAAATAATCAGTAATTTATTTAAACAAAGATGATAATAGCAACCCAAAATGGCAAAGGATACAATGAGGTGTGTTTATCACCCCGTTCTACGCCATAATGAAACAGACTGGAGCTATAGCCAATTATTTGTAACATGGAGAGAGCTGTTTAAAACATTGAAAATGGATGTCCTGAGCAACATTATATGGTATGACAGTGTTTAGCACACAACTTCTGCATGTCAACGCCCTTGAGACTTTTGGATTGGTTCGGCAATCCAAGTTTTTTTGAAACTTCCACCCAGTTTTAAGTCCTCAGTCTCTATTGAGTGAAGCGTTTAGATACTTGAGACTTGTGAGTCTGTGTTTCCCTCCTTTTCCAGTCTTTAAGCTAAGCTAACTGTCTTTTGACTGTATCCTCATATTAAATAGACAGTTTTGAGAGTGGTATCGATATTGTCCTCTCTCTAATGTATTCTTTAAAAAAAGAGGACAGGACAGGGCATTTCTGGGTCCATTTTGTTGTGTGGTAGTGTTCATTTCCTCCTGGCCGAATGTAGATGAAGTAATACTACATTAATATTTCCACTGGAGCTGCAAGTAAAATAGCTATAGCTTCCTTTTGCACCATTCTTCTCTAGCATTTAACAATCTAACAAGAGAAACCCATTTTAGTAGAACAGATGTTGCATTTTGAGAAAGTGTCTTTAATAGAAAAACATACATAAACTGTTTTTTTGTAAAAAAAAAAAAAAAAAAAACTGTTGCTTTCTTGGGGCTGGTGATGAGGCAGGTGATGAAGAGTACACCAAATAAACATTAGACACCTGTGCTGAACAGTTGAAACATTTGTTTATTTGTTCATATGTGCATGCCTGTGATTCTGCATACCTTTGTGCACACACACACATACACATACCTTAATTGTGCATGTGATGTGAAATGCCATGTGTATGGTAGATGGTATTTAGCATGTCATATGGTATTTACATAAGCCAGCTGTTAGACACTTCACGGTCAAACAACCGGAGCAGGGCAGAGGTACTAATAATAATAATAATAATAATAATAATAATAATGTGATAGTTACCTCAGCAGAGATTACATTTTTGAAAGGACCTACAGTGTGTATCACATCATACTCTGCTCCAACCCTTTAAAGAAAGGAAAGCATATACCAAGAAATTGGATGACGAGTGTGGGTTTGTGTACACTGTTTCCTGAAGCACTGTTCTGTCTAAACAATTTAATGTTTTCCGGGTGATTGTGCCGTATCGACCACCCGCTATCCAGAGGGACGGAGAGGAAAAACAGAGATGGGAGAGATTTGTTGTTAACATCAAGTGAATTAAAA